GAAACCATCTCTCTCTGTTTGAGAAGACAGAAGCTGAACACTAAGAGTCATTGTCTCTCAACTCCAATAACAAGTAAAGACTGAATCACACTTCTGCTGTAAGTCAAACAGGACTGGTTTGAACCTTTGTAAACTTAAAGTCACAGACCTCAAAAAAAAGCTACCATAGTCTAAAGGTGAATAATAGAAGTATGAGATAAATTGCTATTTGTGATCTTAATCTAAAGAAGATAGGAGAACTTATTCAAACACTAAAGGTTACTAAAATAAAATTGAAGAGGAGAAAAAAAACAACAGAAAAGATCACTCTGTACTAACTGTACTCTAATGTGCCTTGGTCATAAAGATTGTGGACTCTGTTAAGGAGAATACTATGGAATAGGAATGCATTGAGTTTTTCTTCTCTGATACAGAAAGCCACAGCATTTGAAATAGCTTCATATGAGCAGGGCATTGCCTAAGAAGGAGTTGGAGTAAAACACTGATGCCTGAATCTGTGACCAAAAAGTATCATTCTCTTTATACCCAATTTAGATTTTACAATCCTGATAAAATTTCAGCCTTGGAATGACACTAAGTTCCCAGGAAACTTTCACAGGGAACTGTCGGCCTGGGTGTTTCTTAGTTGACCTACTTTTAACTGCCAACATGATAGGTAAATGTCATAGCCCTTTCCTCCTTAACCTTGACTCCTCATCCTCAGGGTAGCAGAACAGAACACAGCTGCCTTCCCTGTTAGCAGTATTGACTGTGTAGAAGTCAGGCATTGTATTGCTGTAAAAATAATTGAAATAAACAGAAGGAGAAAGTAATTTTTGTTCTGGTCCATGGTTTAAGTGCATGCTTATAGCTTGCTCCATCGCCATAGGCCTGGAGTGAGGCAGAACACCATAATGGTGAAAGCATATGATGCATCAAAATTACATCGTGGTGGCCAAGAAGCAGAGAGGGGTGACACAGGAATGAAGAGGATAAAAGACACACCTTTCAAAGGTAACCATCTGGTGACCTACCTCCTCCAAGCAGGCCCAACTCCTAACCTCCCATTACTTCCCAGTAACACCATAAAATTATAATCCTATCACTAGATATCCTACTCATGAACCCAGAGCCATCAGGATCCAATCAGTCCTCTAAAGTCTGTCAGCTAACAACAAAGCTCCCTTGTGTATACATGTCTACAGAGGCATTTCCCATGCAACCCATAGCAGACGGTCAGCTGCACTTCTTTATGTGTAAAGTGGAGAGAATTATTACACGCAGGGATGTGGTGAGGTTTAAGTAATATAAATGAGATGCAAAAGAGCCTTATTAAATGCTAGTGAGTTTAGTAAGAAGATCCCTTCAAGGGTAAGAGCCTCCTTCAAGATACGAGCTACAGACTCATCACCCTGACAGATGCTTGCAGCCTGGCATGAGGCTCTGCAGATTTACAAAACTTCAAGGCACCAATGAATACATTTACAAAAGTGGAATTTTGGCATTTGTTCAATCCATATTTATTCAATTTGTTTTCTTTGCCAACATTGAAAACACAAAATAAATAATGTAGTACCTGTCCTCAATAAAGCTGGAAGGCCATCTCTCCCATTTCTTAAAGGATGGCCACAGGAAGGCACAGGGCTAGAGGATAAACTTTTTGCTGGGGGAATGGAAGGTTCTTTCTCTTGAGAGAAGTTAAACATGGGAGAGGGCAGGGAAATGTCTCCCTCCAGGAGATCTCTAATTTGATTTCGAATGCTGTCTTTACCTTACGGACAACATGAGATCTGGGAGTGCTGGTGACCTGTGGCAGGACATAATGTTGACTACCCATTTTTATTCATGCAGAAGCCACTAACATTGATGCTGTCTTACATCAGACTGGGTACTTTGAGAGGAAATTATTTCTGACATTGTGAAGTCTATAAAGACCAAAATCATGGTGTGGCTGGTGCAATCTCTGGTTGCAAGATGGAAACTCATTGTTGCATCTTCTGGAGAGGACTAATGTTTTATCTTTTAGAGACAAAAGAAAGATGGAAAATCTACTTCCCGAGGCTATTTTCCTAAAGTCATTAATAGCTCTGTCCAAATCCTTCCCAACACTGTGCCCTGGGAATTACATTTCAAACATATTGATTTGTGGCCTGGATTCAGATCAGAGTAGCTGGCACCACTGACTTCTGAGAAAATGTTCATTCCGTCAAGAAAGTTGGTTGCTATCACTATAGAGTTAGTTATAGTCAGAGCAATACATTGCAAAGGAAAGCTGAGGTGATGATGGCTCAGTAGATATGAAGTACTATGTGAGCCTGAGGAGCCCATGTAAGCATCCAAATGTAGTCGGCATCTGTCTATAACTAATTCTCCTATTATAAGATGCAAAGTAGAGACAGATGAATCCCCAGCAGCTCACCGACTAGTTATTCTTGAATATGTAGCAGTGAACCAGAGAGTCTACTTCATACAATGTGGAAAGGTAAGGTTGCTAATGCATGCTAGTTTCCTTCAAGACTGAAACACTCCACCCTGCAGGGAAGCTCCTTAAGCAGGAAGATAAACAGCTCGAAATAGCTTCAGGAAGTTCCTGAAACTGACCAGATTTAATGGGCTTCCTCCTTTCCAGAGTAGACAAGCAAAGCTTCAAAGACGACTCTCAGATAAGTCAAGCTGTGAAGATGACTCTGAGCCCAGACAAACTGCCTGGAAGCAGAAACCAGCGGAGATGCCTAGAACCAGTTTAGACCAACTAAGGTACCTGGAAAGCTGCCTGTGGAGCTGCCTGCAAGATGTGCAGTGTGCTCCAGGTTCCCAGCTTTGTGAGCTGTCACCTGTGCCGGGTGGGCGTTGGTGATGCAGCTGTCTCTGAGTCATTTCTGCTCCTTTTAAGTAACCCCAATAAAACTCATTGGTTCACCAACTTGGACTTTGGTGGTATCTGTACTTTATTTTGTAGCAGGATCCCTATCTGGATAGGGATAAACATGTGTGTTGCATCTCCCCAGAAAAATTTTTGTCATACAACAGGGTAGGAATTCAAAGTAAACAGAAAAGGAACTATTTCTATTTCTCATTGCTCAGCCCAGTTCATCAAAGTGGGAAAGAGAATGAGCTCCTGGTAAGAGGTAGCATCTATCTAATAGGAAATATCTACCTGAAGCATGCCTGTTCTGCTTCTCTCAGCAACTGGAAAAGACCATGGGCAGCTGCCACAGCTGCAGTACATCAGCCACTGGCTGCTGGAATCATTTCCTATTCACGCTGCAAATTAGCACAAACGTGCTCACTTAACACAACACAAATATTTTTATCTTCTTGTCCTGAAGATCAAACTTCCATAATTAGTCTCATTGGGCCAAAATCAAAGTAATAACAAGGTGCATTCCTTTTAGTTCTAAAGTAGAATCCTCGCTGTCACCTTTCCCAACTTCTAGAGACCACCTCCACTCATTATTTGTTGAAGGCCCCTTTACCCACCCTTAAAACCAGCAATAATGCTTCAAGTCAAATCCCTCTCCTCCATCATCTATCTATATTTGACTTTCATCTTTTTGGGCTGTGTGTGTGTGTGTGTGTGTGTGTGTGTGTGTGTGTACCAGAAGTCATCATTTTACCTTGTTTTTTGAGACAGGGTCTCCTGCTGAATCTGGGGATAACTGGTTCAGCTAGGCTGACTGTCCAGCAAGCCTCGGGGGTCCTACTGCCTCTGTCTCCCCATGATTGGGACTACAGAAACATGTTACCATGTCCAGCTTCCTTACATGGATGATAGGGATCAAACCTGTGTTCTTATGGTTATACACATACTACACTTACTGAGCTCCTATTTTTCTTTACATATTTCTGAAGCCCGTTTCTCTTTAAGTATCCTCACAATTAGACTATAGCTGGTCATTGAAAATAATTAGCTCCTTTCATGATTATCAATATCTTAACCCTTATATGGCCATAGTGTGCTTGGACATGCAAAATCCCGTAGCTTTAGGTTTAGGCACTGGGGTATAGAGGAAGATGCTGAAAGGAAGAGTATTGGCTCAGAACCCACGAGATCAAGTTCTCAGCACAAAGGTTTATTTTCCCCAGAGGGACAGAGGGCAGGGAATAAGGGACAAAGACAGGAGATAGAGGACAAGGGAGAAGCGGGTGGAACCAAGGAAAAGGGGACAGGGGTATCCCAAAAGACACTGGTCTGCCTCTGGATAGAAAGGATGCAGACATAGCCCATAGGCAAATGACAGTTTATAAAGGCACAAGGGGAAACCCCATGTTAGGATGAGGTATTTAATTTTAAATGGGTATGTTAATTAGGTGAGCCAAAGTGGGCTTTTGGTTGATGGACTTCAGCACTTTGACAGCTGGACCTTGGTAGTGGACCTCAGGAGGAGGAAGTGGCCAAATAAGGGAATAGACCATGGCTAGCTTTAGAGATGTAATCTAAGGGTTTATCAGAAAGCAGAGAGATTGGGAGAAGGACAAGGTCTGCCAGAGTCATGCCTACCATGCTCAAGTTAGCCAGAGTCCCTTCAGAGGTCATTTTTTTGTTTTTTTATTCCCTCCGACAGTTGGAGCTTGAGAACAGGATATTGATATTAATATCAATATAACAAAAAACACAATGATGAACAAAACTAGGATTTGGGCTTTGCCTCCTTGTTATCATCTAAACACACTTGCCTTTTTACCTAGTGGGTAAGGACTTCCCCAAAAGAAGTGATCCTTAGGCCCAGTACCCAAGGTAAAGGAAAACATTTCATGATACACCGCAGGAACCTATTACTCACTTGAGAACCCTCTGTCCCTTAGCTTGCCAGTAATCTTAACTTTCGACTCCTTTGACACTAGATGATGCCTTGCCTTGCTCATGCAGTTTACGTAAGCAGGAAAGATTTGGGTTTTCACAACACTGCTTTTGATGAACCAAAAATTTTGAGTGAACAGTTGTCTTACTATTTGCTTTCCTTTTCACTGTTACAGACCGTCTGACAGATGTAATTTAAGGGAAGAGAGGCTTGCCGAAGCTCAAAGCTTCAAAAGGTAATTCACCACCTCAGGGAAGGCACAGTGGAGCTCATCATGATGGAAGCAGGCATCTGGAGTTCTTCACATCTTGATGGCAAATCAAGAAGCTGAGAGGTGTACCAGAGATAGAGGTGGGTATAACCTCCAGAGGCCCACTCCTAATTGTCTACATATGCCAGCTAGCCCCAATGTCCATAATCCTCCCAAACAAAGCCACCAGATGGGCACTAGGTGTTCAAATACATGAGCCCTTGGGAGTATTACATAAACAATAAATCACTGCCTTTGGTGCTACCCCAACATGAGCCAGTAGCAGATTAAGTACTCTCCCATCATGCTGCTCACTGAAAGAACAGAAGGAGTTGTCATTGCCGCACCACTACAAGTCTGTTCTACATAAACCGTAAGATTTTTACTTATACTTATATATTTTATTAGAAATACTATGTGGGAAAGGACTGTGCACAGGTTACCCAGCTCTGGGAAATCCTTCCCTGGTTGGCTATACTATAGGAAAATCATAGCTCTGGATCTCTGTCTCATAAGAGAAAAAAAATATCTAGAGAAGGCTACTGGGAAAAGTTCCTATGTTGTTGAAATTTCACCAAAGCAAGGTATGAAAGATAGCATACATGAGCTATTCCACTTTCAGCTTGGAGTTTTGTCTGTATCTGGATCTTCTCTTGTCCCTGTAATCTTCAGTACCTTTACTCCATCTTTGCTTCTGTTCCCAAGATAGCTCAGCTATTTCAACTTTAGTAAGAATTCAGGGTCATCCTTGAATTATAAAAACTATATATAAAAAAAACCTCAATAGGTCAAGGTAATACACCAGCAACCAACCTTCAACCAGTGAGTTAGGAACCAGTAAATGTGTGATTTTTTTCTTGCCGTCTCTCACATACACAGTTCAGAGGCATCCTCTTATTGCCTTGTAGATGGTCTCAGAGGTATTGGATACCAATTTTTCTGCTCTCAAATAACCAATTGTATAATGTATTTGAGTATTGGCTTATTCTATTTTGTTCATGTGTGGATTCCAGTTCTTTCTATATAAACTGCCCTTAACCCATTGTCTCAGGCTCAGACAACTCAAGCTAAGATTCTGCAGATGGGATCATCCAGCTGCTAGACAGTAACCCTGACTTCACTGCTGGTGGTGAGTTGGTGGCAGTGGCATCACACTTAGTAGGGTTCTGACCTCAAGGAGACTGGGAAGAAGTCTAAAGCAAAGACAGCATTTGTTTTTGTGTCAGCTGTGACCCTTAAGTAATGTGAGGGCCATGGGATCATTAAGCATGGGAGACTTGATGACCTGTGAAATGTCTTTGAAGCTTCGGGAAGGAATGATGAGAAGCTTCAGGCAGCAAATCAGAAAGGAAAGTCACTCTGTGAAAGCCAAAACTCTTCCATGGCAGGATCCAAAACAATTCCTAATCCCTTAGAGTGTCAAGGTCAGCAAAGGCCTAATTTCATTTGTATATGTGTCATAAATCAAAGGACAAAATCCATAGCCTCAACCCATTTCCTATGTGAAATTAGAGAAGGGGTCACTGAGAAATGGGAGGGGACATGCCAGCGGATGAAGATGACCACGTTTACTGCTGCCCTGCATGCAGGACAGCAGAAGCAGCTCCCTTCCTTTCTGGAAAGACTATGTTAACCCACACTGAGGCAGGCAATTTGCATAATAGCTGCTCATTTTGGAACTGAATTTCTTCTCTCTTTTGCCTCCAAACCAGATCAGGTCTCAGCATAGCCAGAAAACAACTGCCTGCCTCTCCTATAGGGCAAAGGGGTTTGTTTATACAGCAAGACTTTCCCCTCCACCTACAGGGAATATTCCATCTTGCAAAGACTGGGAAGAACTTGAGGATTTTGAACATAGTAGGCAGAATTACACTGAATAAAAGGGCAGTCACTGATTGAGAAGGACTTTCCCATGACTAAAATTTTAATATTTTATCAAGGATACCTCAAATGGGTGAAGTGATATAGCTTTCCAAAGCTACCATAGCAGAAATATTGAAGAGGGGTCATAACAAGCTTTTGGGTAGGGATGCCAAGATTTATTATGTGAAGCCAAAGAATTCATCCTGTAACTTCCCATAACATACTCATTTCACTATGGCCATAAAGACTTGACTGTTAACAAATGCATTGGCACATCTGAGGAGGTCAGAATGATCACCCAGATTCAGGTTGGTGTTGACAGGAGATTCCACGTTAGAACTTGGCTCCCAGTTTTAAATGAGAATGGCAAAAATCTGAGACAGTATGGGACATGTGGTACATTTAGCCATCATGGGAAGGTTACTGACCTTCACAACTAACAATCTAGAGTACCAGCCAGGAAGCCTACACTGACAATTTCTAGTACACCATGGCTTTTGTAGACATAGCCCTTAGCTACTTCTCTAGCACCATGATGATAATGAACTAACCTTCTGAAGCTGTAAGCAAGGCTCCAATGAAATGTTTTCTTCTGTAAATCGTCTTGGTTATGGTATATCTTCACAGCATTGGTACCAGGGATTGGGGTATTGTTGTGAAAGGACAGACCATGCTATTTGTTGGAGAAATATAGAAGACTTTGGGACTTTGGACTAGAAAAGTAGTTGAATACTTTAAGTGGGGCTTAATGGGCCACCCTAGTAAGAGCATGGAAGACAGTAGTGCTGAGGGCAATGTGGACCATGCAGGCCCGGCTCAAGAGGGTTCAGAGGGAACGAGTATTAATAAGTAGTGAGAGTCCATTCTTGTTATATTTTGGCAAAGAATTTAGCTACTTCCTGCTCTTGTCCAAAAAAGGTGCTAGAGGCTAAATTGAAGAGTTTTGGATTAATGTCAATTGGCAAAGGAGCTTTCAAGACAGCCTAGTATTTATTATGTCATGTGGTTATTAGTGTTCACCCCTATACAGATCCACAGGGAAAAGGAGTGAGGAGGGCAAACAAAAATATAAAATGTACAATTTGAGGAGAAAATGAGCACCAGGAAATATCATGTTGGAGCCAAGTCCTGTGCTCAAGCAGATAAAACATTTAAAGAAAAGCCTGATTGAGAATAGAATAAAGGGAGTGGTAGGTACCCTTAGTGTAAAACCCCACCTCGTTGAACTTTCAACTTATAAAAAGGAATTAAAGGAAAGCTTAAGTAGCAAAGGAAGCCATCAACAAGTGAAAGATTATATGAATGTAATTCACTGTGTGTGTGTGGGGGGGGGGCTAATACTAGCCCCAGCAAGTAGAAGAACTTGAGAACTTTACCACTTGGTTCTGGAGTTAGAGTCAATAAGGATACAGAAAAGGAGGTTATGGAATCTTCCTGCACATTTAAGGAAAGCTGCCAAGACCAGGTATGTGGCAGGGGAATTCCTGCATGGAAGCACAGAGCATTGGGTGAAGCTGTGAATGTGAAGCCTGGATTGCATTGGAAACTCCAAGATGTTGGAGATGCCAGAGCCATGGGATACCTTCCAAGGAAAACTACTAACAGGGTATCTAACAGCCCAAGAGAGGTAAGTGTCCTGTAGTCAACAAAGTTGGAAAATAAAAGCCATCTAATAAATTCTTTAACATAGGACATGAAGCAACAGAATTTGGAGTTTGCCCTGCTGGGTTTTAATTCTTACCTTGCTCCGGTATTTCCTCACTATGCCCCCTTTCCTCCCTTTTGGAATTGTAATATATATTCTACGCCATTATATGTTGGAAGCATGTAATTTACTGTTTGATTTTTTTTAAGGAGGTAACAGACTTCCTTGGGTCTCAAAAGGGATGTTAGACTTTGGACACTTAAGCGGTCTTGAGAGTGAAAGACTATGGGGACTTTTGAAGTTGAATTGAATGCATCTTGCATTATGACATGGTTACAAGCTTATGGGGGTCAAGGAATGAAATTTGATGGCTTGAATAAGAATGGTTCCGAGGCTTATATGTCGAATGCTTAGTCACCAGTGAGTGGAACTCCTTGGAAAGGATTAGAAAATGTGGCCTTGTTGGAGAAGGTATGTCACTGGGGGTGGGTTTTGGGGACTAACCCTCTGAGACTGTAAGTGAGCCCCAATTAAATGTTTTCCCCCCTAAATTGCTTGGTCATGGTGTCTCTTAACAGCAATAGAATGGTAACTAAGACAATGGGTCCAATATCACATAGTTTATTCAACTTTCAGAGAATGTATGCACTTAGCATTTGGCATGCATCTGTCACATTGGTTTCCTGATTAAAGAAATGAGAACCAACCTTTCATGACAATCATTCAAGTCCCTAATACTGTCTTCACAATCCAAAGTAATACATTGCCTCAGACAGAATGTTGTGTACAAGAAGCAATCAAAGAAATTGACATCATCATTAAAGTCTTAAGAATGGTGAGTCCCATAACATCCCAATTTAATTTGAATATTTGCTTTCCAAATGATCAGCTAATGAATGGCAAAGGCAATGGGGTGCCATAAACTTAACTGAGCAGAAGCCTGAGATGTGGCTGTTTTAGAAATAGATTATCATAGCCTTTTGGCCTAGAGACACAGTTAAGTATCTAATAAGTGCATTTTCCCCCAATTCCCCAAAATCAGAAAGTCAAAAGAGAATCCTTTACATGAAGGAAAGCAGAGGGACATCATACATGTTCAGTGCTCACCCAAAGGTCATGTGGATTCTCTTGCTTTCTATCAATACTAATTCTTTATGAACCTCCAACTTTCTATAGAACATTATACTGGATGTCCATTGGATCAGCTAGACAAGCAAGCTATATTGTGGGCCTTTTCAGGTTTTAGATATTATAGTTGGTCATTCATTTTGGCCTATTCAGCAGACTACTCAGAAAGCTGTCAATTTTGTCTGAAACTTCTTTTCTGCACTTCTACAAGTGGCACGCATGTCCTGTGACTCAGAAATCAAGTGTGCTAAAGTTGTCTGTGGCAATGCTGTGTACAGTCTGGCAAGACCCAATAGAAGCCACAGTGAAAATCTCAGTCATTACTCTGAAGAAGCAATGCCAATGGAAGTATGCTAACATGTGGATTCTTGAATTAATGTTTATGCTTAACAGAAAGCCTCCTATGCTGGTTTGAATGAGAAGTGCCCCCCAGATGCTCAG